TAAAGTAAGTTGTAACGTGAAGTTCTTGGTCTGGTGTCAGGGCTGTGAGCTGCTGGCATCTTCCCATTGCCATAACCATGTAATGAGACTGATGCTGGAAGATAAAACAGCTCAAGGCAAAACAGCTCAAGGCACTTTCCACAGCAGCCCTGTCCTGTTGGTGATTTGTGCAGAGACCCCCAGGTAGCAACACTTGCCCAGCTCCCACACAGCCCCAGCTCCTTGCCCAGCTCCCAGACAGCCCCAGCTCCAGCTCCTTGCTCAGCTCCCAGACAGCCCCAGCCCCTGTGCCCACCACAGCAGAACCCAAACGCCGAGCTCTGCCCCAGCCCAGGCAGAGCTGAGCTGCTCCAAGCACATCCACGTGGAACACCCACGCTCTCCAGGAGCACACAGGCTCCCTCAGAACTGAAGCCTCACTCACAACAAATCCCCATCCCAAGCCTCACCAGCACCACCCACAGACCCTCCCCTCTCCCTCCAGCATTCCCCAGGCAGGAGCTGCTGCTCTGGTGAGCTTCCTCTGCACAAGAGCCACGATCAAACCCTGTCAGCCCTCAGGGAAGCAGCCACAGTGAGACATACCCAGTTTGTCTGCCAACTGCTTGGCCAGCTGGCCCTTCCCAGAAGAGAGGTTCCCCTCCACTGTGAAGACTTTGCTGTGCTCTGTGAACTTCTTGGTGGTCCTTTCTCCCAGGATGTAGGACAGCCACCCATACTGCCTGCTCTGCTCAGGGCTGGTGTGGATTCTTGCCTGGAGAAAAAACCGATGGAAATCAGCAGATTTAGATGGATTCTTTAGCTAAAAACACACACAGGACACGCTCTTATATATCTAATACAAGGAATTGTTACTCAGTAACCTTGGCACTGTCATTTCAGCTTAGCAGCTGCAGCAGTGCTTAGACTGGGAAGTCGTTCATGAAATTAAAGGCTGAGAAGACAGAAAACACGGAACAACTTCCAGTCTGAAGGCCAGACGCACAACACCACCAGAGTTCCCAAGAGAGATCCCACACAAAACTTTTGCTTGCATTTTGTGTGGTTTGGGGCACATAATAACACAAAATTCGCTCTCAGGAGAGTTACAGCTTCATTTCAATATGGCTTTGTGGGCAAAAGCTTGGACGCCGCTTCCAGCCTTAACTATTCCACGATTTCTGAGAGGTGGCTAGAGGGACCCACCTGAGCTATGAGGCGAAGGCAGGGCCTTTCTGAGAGCTGCTCAGAGCCTCCCTCAGGGCACCATAAACACTGCTTATCTATCTAACTGTACAAACCTCATTCCGAGCGGCGCAGTGACCTCCCTCACACAGCGGCGTCCATTCCTGTCTAACACTCCTTTCCCCACAGCACCGCTGCCCAACGCTGCCCACAGCCGCCACCGAAGCTCACCGCACTCCCCTCCCCGGCCTCTGCTCCAGCCTGCCCCGCATCCCGCCGCCACTCCCAGCCCCGGGGTGAGGCACCTCCGGCCCCAGGCTGTGCTGCCCACCCACCCCAGCAGGACAGCGCTCCAGACACAGCCCTGCCCAGCCGCCGGCACTCACCCTCAGCAGGACGGAGCCGCTGTCCGGCGCGGAGCTGCCCCGGCGGCCCCGGGTGGCCGCGGCCCGGCCCAGCCGGGACACCCACAAGGACATGGCGGAGGGCGGCGGCGCGCGGCGATGACGTCAGCAGGAGAGGCGGCGCGCCGCAGTGATGAAGGCGCCGTTAAGCCACGCCCCTTGAGAAAGGCCACGCCCACGATCCGTGAGGGCTCTGACGGTAGCGGGGACAGTGACAGGCACAGTGGGACCGGGAACGGCCCGGGTTAGGGATTAGGGGGGACAGAGAACAGCCTGGCCAAGGAACAGGGCTCAGGGAACAGGCGGGACCAGGGACAGTCGGGTCAGTGTGCAGGTGGGACAGGGAACAGCCGGGTTAGGAACAGGGAACCGCGGGGTTAGGGAATGGGAACAGTCTGGTTAGGGAATGGGAACAGCCTGGTTAGGGAATGGGAATGGTCGGGCTAGGAATGGGAACAGCTGGGTTAGGGAATGGGAACAGCGTGGTTAGAAAAAAGGAACAGCCTGGTTAGGGAATGGGAATGGCCTGGTTAGGAACAGGGAACAGTGGGGTTAGGGAATGGGAACAGACGGGTTAGGGAATGGGAACAGCCTGGTTAGGAATAGGTGGGAATAGGGAACAGCCAGGTTAGGGAGAAGGTGGTGTGAAAAACGCCAATCAGTTGCTTTTAAAATTTTAAAAGTTTTAATAGTAATAAAATGGTTTAAAAAAATAGTAATATAATTAGATTAATAATAATTTGGACAAATTTAATTAGGACAATATGTGACAATAAATACAAAGAGTTACTGTTTGGACAAATTTAATTAGGACAATATGTGACAATAAATACAAAGAGTTACTGATGGTCCGGGTACCTTTTTCTGGGCAGCACAAGCCCGAAAAAGGACCCACGTTAACAGAGGATTAACCCTTGAAAACAATGGCCTGTTGCATATTCATACACCTTATACATGATGCATAAATTCTATTGAAACACAGGATTCTGTCTGGGCAGTGTCAGCTTCTTCCTCCAAATCCTGACAGCACCTTCAAGGTGGGAAGAAGTTTGTTTCTTCTGATAATGGAGCAATAAATTGTCTCTCTGAAAGATTCAGGTGTCCTGTCACTGCTATCTCGCTGCGCGTCCTTTCTTTAGAAAAAAAGTATCCTAAATAGCACAGTTTCTATTTTAACACTTTGTTATGACCTAAAACTATATTTAACACACTGCTTAAGAAAATGCAGCATAACTTTCTAACACAACGCATACAATATTCATTTGAATATTTGCAAAAAGCCAATCATAGAATATGCATTTTTTCACAGTGGGAATAGGGAACAGCCGGGTTAGGGAGCAGGTGGGAATAGGGAACAGCCAGGAATAGGGACAGACAGGATGCCTGCACTGTGCCACCCGCAGGTCCCCACAGGAGGGAGCCTGGGATGGGTCTCTTCCCAATACCTGCACATCCAGTTGTCCTAATTCCCTCCACACACTGCTCCAGGTGCTGGAGCAACATCTCCAGGCTTGGAGGCTGACAGCGTGTGCAGTGACCCGAGCCCTCATTTAAACACATTAAATTAAATTCCTGGGCCTGGGAAGGTCGCAACCAAACGTTTTCCACATTTCCCATCAAAGTGACATCGGCTCTGCTGAGCTGGCACCTTTGTGACACCATTAGCGGCCTCTGCTTTGCCCCCTGGCAAGAAGCAATCAAGTTGCACGTCAAGGATTTATCCCTGGAATTTGCAAACAGCTTGAAAAACCCAGCCAAACAATCCACAAAGGATGTGTCCAGCTTTCCTTAACAGCTCTGGCTGCAGCCAGACTCGTTGGATGCTCCAAGCCCTGGCCTTGAGCCCTTCCAGGGATCCAGGGGCAGCCACAGCTTCCCTGGCCAGCCTCAGCACAGCAGCTGGAGCTGGTTTTGGGGGAAGAACAAAAACTTTGGGTGGCATTAACTCAGGGAAAGGAAAAAAGTGAGAAAAAACAGGCTGGCTTTTCCTGAAGGGCCATCAGGCTCTGGAATGGTGATGCATGGACATGGTGTTTGCCAGGATTCCGTGTCCCCTTGACAATGGCCCACAGACACGGTGATCCCCAGGTTCCTGGAGCATGGTGGCCCATGGATCATCCTGAGAAAAACTAAATCACAATAGCGTGTAGAATTGTGACGTAAAGATTGGGACTAGAAACAGCTGATAAATAAAAATTGGGAATAGAAACTGCTGAAAAAGCTTATGAGTGCCCCTATAAATACCTGTAACCTTCAACTATCAGTGTGCAGCTGGAGGGAAAACTTCCCCTGCTGTACCCAGCGCTGTATTGCTCATACTTTACCAAAATAATTAATAAATTGACTGCTGCTTGAATAATGACCTAGTCAAGCTTCTTATTCATAACAAGTTCTACAATAGTAACCTTTTGAAGTATAATTTTAGAATATTGCTTGTATCCAAACTATAGCTTTGGAATATATATAAAGGAAATATGCTTATCTCACGCCTTAATAAAGCAGAGAAAAACAGCTTGAGAAAGGAAGATGAACATCAAATCAAGGATTAATAGTTTCGACCAAGGGAAGGTGGACATCACTGTTATGGGATTTACAGTCCTTGTAATTAAAAGGTGGATACATGTGACGGTGTTCACAGGGGTTCTTGGATTGGGGAAGAGACGAGAATGTTGGCTCCATGTTTCAGAAGGCTCGATTTATTATTTTATGATATATATTACATTGAAACTATACTAAAAGAGTAGAAGAAAAGGTTTCATCAGAAGGCTAGCTAAGAATAGCAAGGAAAGAATGATAACAAAGCCAGCTGTGTCCAAGCCAGCTGACTGTAATTGGCCATTAATTACAAACAACCACATGAGACCAATCACAGATGCACCTGTTGCATTCCACAGCAGCAGCAGATAATCATTGTTTACTTTTTGTTCCTGAGGCCTCTCAGCTTCTCAGGAGGAAAAATCCTAAGGAAAGGATTTTCCATAAAAGTTGTCTGCGACAGACCCACATCTGGGGAGCTGGACTTCACCAGATAGGATTCGTCTTTCTTCTCTCTGAAACCGGACCACCACCATCTGTGGATGGTCCTTTTGGGATACATCCTGAGACAAATTAAATCACAACAGTGTATAGAATTGCGATGTAAAAATAAGGAATAGAAACTGCTGAGAGAGCTGATGAGCACCCCTATAAATAAATACCTGTAAACCTCAACTATGGGTGTGCAGCTGGAGAGGGAAAACTTCCCCCGCTGTACCCAGCGCTGCATTGCTCACACTTAACCTTGGCTGCTTGAATAGTGCCATAAATAAGAAGTGTCAAGCTCCTCATTTATGACACTAGGCACCGCGCTCCGTGGGTTCGGTGTCCCCAAGGGCGTGGTGTCCCCAAGGGCGTGGTGTCCCCAAGGGCGTGGCCGGTGCCGGTGGCCGGAGCCCCGCCCCGGGCGCGGTGCCGCTGTCGCCGCTGTTCTTGCCGGTGTTGTCGGGGATGTACGCGGGCAGGAAGAGGAGAAAGCCGGTGCCCAAGAGGTGGGTGCGTGGGACGGGGCAGTGAGAGCCCGGCTGGGCTCTGGGAAGTGCCTTTGGGGGAGCCAAAGGCAGCGGCAGCAGCAGCACGCTTGGATTGCCGGGTTTTAATCAGGGTTAATTGGAGCTAACGCGCTGCCGGCTCCGGCACGCTGGTGGGAGAGCAGAAATCCCGAAGATGCTCGTCCCCCGTAAGCTCGCCGCGGAGTTTGAGCCGCTCGGCGGTGATTTGCAGGCTGGGTTGTTTTTGGTGCCCGCCTAAATCAATCGTACAGCGATTAGTAATTACCAAAACACCTGGATTCTGTAATTATTAATTACCACGCTGCTCAGTAGCTGTTGCATAACATCCCCCTCGGTGTCGCCGGTGTTTCCTGCCTCCCTTATGCCTTCCCTAGCTCCCAAGTCCCACCAGCCTGTTTAAGCTCAGCTTTTCCAGGTGTGTAGGAGCTAAAGGTGGGTGTCTGTTTCTGGGAGGCTGTGGGGAAGGACACGGATGAGCTGAGTTCAAGCCCGGGATGAAGGAGGGAGCATCAATACTTTAAACCTGTGGTGAGGTGACCCTGAGCCTCTCTTGGGTATTTAATTGAGAGTCTTGTTGTGTAAACATGAAGGATGGTTGTTTTGCCACAAACCTGTCTTCTGGTCATCTCGGAGTGGTGATTCCAGCCCTCAGCACACCAGCCTGAGGGTTTGGGCTGGATTTGTGCGTCTCAGGGTGCAGGAGAAGGTGTCTCTTTGGAGCAGAAGGACCTTCATTCCCTGAGTTCTGCAAGGTCAGCCTTGGGAATGGGAAGAGATTCATTTTCTCCGTGCTGGGTCAGACCTTGGAGCGGGATCCTGCTGGGAGCGGCCAGGCAGAGCAGGGCTGGTGGCAGTGGGACGTGACAGGGAGGATGGGCTGAGGGGCTTCTCCTTCTTACTGACTTCAAAAAACTCTTCTTGAGAATTAATAGATCAGCTCAGGCAAGTCCCACTGTCAAGAGTAATCTCCCTTGGTACTTGCCAGCTTGCAGAAGGGATACACTTCCCCCGTTCAAGGAGCAGCTGGGGAAAAACAAACCAGTCCCATTTTCTCTTCTTTCTGTCTGTTTGGAGCTGGATTTGGATGGTGAGTGGCCAGAAGACTTTAAAGGATATCTGAGGAATCTCAGACAAATTTTCTGAAACCTAATTTAAGTTTTCCCCTTCCTGGTGCATGGCTGTGATTTCAAAAGTGTTTCAGCTTTGTAAACAGTTCCAGTGTGTTTTACCCAGCTTGTGTGGACTAGTTTGGAGCTGGGTTGTGCCAGCCTCCCTGCGAGAGGGGATATCCCTCCTGATGCAGCTCTTACAACCCAGCAGGCTCCAGCTTTCCTGGGGAAATGCTGCAGTTTTCCATTCAGCCTTAAAAGACCCCTCAGTCTCTCCCTGAGCTGCAAATTCAACAGGCACTTCGGTGCATTTCATTTAATGCTCATTTCCTCTCGTGTCACACATGCGAGCAGCCCTGCCAGATGAGATTGGAGAGTGGTGGTAGAGGAGGGAGCTTAAATTGCTGCTAAACACTGGCAGGTCCTGTTATCCAAAGCTCCTTCCTGAAGAGAGGCTGCGAGTTTGTGGTTAGACAAATTACATCAAACCAAACGAGCTGCGTGTTAGGGGTTGCAGATCTGGGTTTGCCTTTGAGCTGTGAAATTCAGATTAGCGTTAAAAAATGAAGGACACAGGGTGAGATCCAGGACTTGTTAAAGTTATTAACTGAGCTCTTATTGCTGTGCTGGGGTTTTGGCTGGGGTGGGTGAAATAAGTGCAGCTCGCAGAGATGGGACCTCGTGTAGGCTTCAGGCTGCTCTCCTGGACACTGTTCCTCCTAAGTTTGGCATCAAATGCTGGTTTAATTTGGAAATGCCTATCTGAAAGGGACAGAAATCAGAATATTGGAAGAAAACAAAACTTTTTTTTTTTTTTTTTAAGAGAGGCTCTTTTCACAGTGCAGTGCCCTAAATCACCCTATGCGATATCCCTTTGTTTAAGTCCCAGAATCCCAGAATGGTTTGGGTTGGAAGAGACCTTAAAGCTCATCTCATTCTGCCCCATCCCTGGAAGTGTTCCAGGCCAGGTTGTACAGGGCTTGGAGCAGCCTGGGATAGTAGAAGGGGATGGAACAAGATGAGCTTTAAGGTCTCTTCCAACCCAAACCGCGCTGTGATTCTGTGATTTCTAAGAGGAGCAGTGTGTGTCTGTGTGTGTGTAAAAATCTTAATAATTTCACTGTTGTGGCTGCAGCAAAGCCAGTGCTGGGTTTGAAAAGAGCCTGCTGGACGATCCCAGTTTGATTATCCTCTCCTGTGCCTCTTGCAGCCCCAAAGCCCCCCCTGCCGAGGGTGTGAAGTCCAACCCCTCCAAGCGGCACCGGGAGCGGCTGAACCAGGAGCTGAGCAAGCTGACGGGGCTGCTGCCCTTCCCCGAGGATGTGCGCTCCAGGCTGGATAAACTCTCCATCCTCCGCCTGGCCGTGGGCTACCTGAGGGTGAAGAGCTACCTGAGGGGTGAGTGTCCGTGCTGGGAGGGGGGAAAGCCCCTGGGATCGATCCCCACTGCACAGCTTGTGTTCCACTGTGATGGCGTTCACAGGGGTCTCAGGATGAGGGGAGAGATGAGGATCTGACTCCATGTTTCAGAAGGCTTGATTTATTATTTTATGATATATATTACATTAAAACTGTACTAAAAGAATAGAAGAAAGGATTTCATCAGAAGGCTAGCTAAGAATAGAAAAAGAAGGAATGATAACAAAGGTTTGTGGCTTGGCTCTCAGTCTGAGCCAGCTGTGCTGTGATTGGCCATTAATTAGAAACAACCACATTAGACCAATCACAGATGCACCTGTTGCATTCCACAGCAACAGATAATCAGTGTTTACATTTTATTCCTGAGGCTTCTCAGCTTCTCAGAAGGAAAAATCCTAAGGAAAGGATTTTCCATAAAGGATGTCTGTGACATTCCACCCCAAGCTTTGAGATGGGAGGTTGTGTTTCCTGAGAGAAGCGTGATGGTGAGTTACAGGAGCAGGCCCTTGGATGTTGATACTGGCAGGAAAATGTCACCATGGATGGTGGGAGACACTTGGGGGCCTGCTCTGCAAAGTTCCTCCATCTCATTAGCAGCCATTCTTTATGTCCAAAAATCCAGCCGGCCTTTATTTTATGTCCTTTATGTCCAAAACTCCTCCTGTGTCACACTCCCAGCACCCTGTGGGGAAGTAGAGAGAGGTGGGTAAAGCATTGTGTCTTGCTGAACTGCAACAATTCCCTCATCTGACTGGAATGGCAATTTAAAATGAAATTCACTAAATAATTGAATGTTCATGATATAATACGTATTACATGTTCCCTTTTACTGTATTTCATATTCTGTATTTCCTTGTTTATTCCATATTTGGTATTCTTATATTTATTCCATATTCCTTCTCCCTCGCTCCTACCCTCTCTGTTATTCTTCAACCCTTTATTATTATTGCAGTTACAGTGTGTGTTTAATAAATTTTAACATTATATATGGTGCAGAGCCTGGGTGGGGGCAGTCACCACATTCCCAGGAGTCACCAGCACACGTGGATATGGACATGTCCCCTCTGCAGTGACTTGGGCCTGATGGAATGGGAGCTGGACACTGGGGAATGCAGAGCATATGGGGCAGGAAGGCAGCAGCAGCTTTTTATATTTAGAGGCTCCTATTGTGTCTTCTCCCCACGGCAGATTGGATAAACTTGGCTCCCTTGGTTTTTCCCTCGTGCCCACTCCTCTGGGCTCTCCCAGGGCCCTCTCCAGCTGGGATGCTGGGCTCCAGGAGGAGACTCCTGTGCCAAACTCTCCAGATGGGACCTGTGCCTCCAAGCAGGAGCTGGTTCCCAGTGGATGTGCTCAGCGTGTGCTTCCCAGCGAAGAGAGCAGCTCTGGAAAAGCCTTTGGCATTGCAGGGGCTCTGCAGCCCCATTCTGCCAGGCCAATTATTCCCATCTGGCCACTTGCCTGTGATTGCCAGCTCCTTCCCCTTGCTCTGCCCTGAAGTTCATCTTGTTTGACTTCAGATCATGCCAGATACATCAGGCTTGGCCTGGGTCTCAAGTGTGCCTGGTGAAGACCCGTGCCAGCTGCAGGTCACAGCAGCCCCATGCTGCTGGTGTGTCCTGTTGGGAATTTTGGGGGGACGTGCTGGCACCCCTTGTGCTCTGCTTTCTGCCTCAGGTTTGCTGTCCTGTGCTTTGTGCTGGCTCTTCTGCAGCAGGCATCATCTGAGGAGCATCCCTATCCTCACCCGCAGTCCAAGCCTGGCCTTATCTCCAGGCAGGATAGAGATGGATGTTTTGATAGAGTGGTAATTGCCTTATCTCCAGGCAATTGAGAAACCAATTGCACAGTAGGCTCAGGGTGATGCCCTGAGGCTCCTTTTCCCCTTGTGCTGCATTTTCTCCAGCCCTAGAGTGGAGCTTCCATGTGTTGTCTGCATCTTGTCTGGCTGCTAACACCAGGAGAAATCTGAGAAGGGGCTTCCAGCCTTCTCCACCTTCTCTGGTATTTCTGAGGCGTGGGTGCTGTGGAACAGACCTGTTTAATGGGGTGTAGGAGCCTGGGGCAGTGTTTAGGGTGGGACAGAGCAGAAGACAACTGTGATGGTGTTAAGGTTGAGGGAAGAGACAAGGATCTGACTCCATGTTTCAGAAGGCTTGAGTTATTATTTTATGATATATATTACATTAAAACTATACTAAAAGAATAGAAGAAAGGATTTCCTCAGAAGGCTAGCTAAGGATAGAATAGGAAAGGATGATCACAAAAGCGTCTGTCTCGGACAGAGTCTCCAAGCCAGCTGACTGTGATCGGCCATTAATTAGAAACAACCAACATGAGACCAATCACAGGTCCACCTGTTGCATTCCACAGCAGCAGACAATCAATGTTTACATTTTGTTCCTGAGGCTTCTCAGCTTCTCAGGAGGAAAAATCCTAAGGAAAGGATTTTCCATAAAAAGATGTCTGCGACAGACAACCACAGTGGGTTTGGGTGCTGGTATCTGTGCCTGCTTCCACAGGGGATACAAGAAAAGGACTTGATAATTTGCATGGGATCCTGGTTTCCATTGCAGGGTGGTGACTCACTGCATTGTCCTTTGAGTCTGCTTTGCTTTTAAATATTCTCCTCTGTCTGTGCTTTAAGGAGAAACCAGACTAATTGGTAGTTTTCTGGAAATGCTAAGCCTCGGGGCTAGAGGGGGAAGCTCTGGGAGCTCCTTCCATGCTTCCAGGAACTGTTTCAGGGTGTGTGTCGCAGACATTTTTCACGAAAAATCTCTTTTTTTAGGATTTTTCCTCCTGAGAAGCCTCAGGAACAAAATGTAAACAATGATTATCTGCTGCTGTGGAATGCAACAGTTGGATCTGTGATTGGTCTCATAAAGTTGTTTTTAATTAATGGCCAGTCACAGGTAGCTCAGACTCTCTGTCCAAGACACAAGCTTTTGTTATTATTCATTCTTTGTTATTCTATTCTTAGCTAGCTTTCTGATGGAACTTTTTCTTCTATTCTTTCAGTATAGTTTCAATGTAATATATATCAAAAAATAATAAATCAAGCCTTCTGAAACATGGAGTCAGATCCTCATCTCTCCCGCAATCCAAGAGCCCCTGTGAACGCCATCACAGGTGTGCACGCTGTAACTCCCCTGTGCCCCAGGGCAAACACTGCAGGTGCTGCACAGCTCTCTCTTGGGATCTCAGCCTTCCCTGCACAAAACCAGGGGGCTCAGGGCTTGGTCTGCCCGAGCTCTGCCCAGCCTGGGTAGCGGTGACAGCTCTGGTGCTATCGCTGCCTCTGCCTCAAAGGCGCTTTAAAGGTTTTGTCACTCGTGTCAACAGTGGCTGGGCCTCACTGCCAGATTTGTGCTGAGCTCTGTCTGCAAACCAATTTGCAGTGGTTGCTACTTGGACCTGTGTGTGACAGCCTCCCAGACAGATCTGGAGTGACACTGCTGATGAGAGCAAGAGCCCAAGGAGAAAAGCTGGTGTCTCTGCTGCCGACTGCCACGATGCTCAGGCCCCTCTGTGCTGTGACTGGCTGCAAAGAGGGAGATCTCATAAAAGCCTGGATGGATTTTAGTGGCTTGCTAAAGCTCCAGCTAGCTGGAGAGTTGTGTGTCCTATGGTTCCTGTAGCAAAGGAAGCAGATGTTGGGATTGCAGATGTGGCTCTGCCAAGGGTGAGCGAGAAAATTGGGCTTAAAATGCTCTCTGAGGTGGAGAGGGTGTGATTAGGAAATGTGCTGCCATGTCTTCTTCCTAGGAGAAGAGAGGATCAGAGTCCCACACGGATTTGGGTTGGAAGGAAGTTCATCCCATTCTACCCCTTCCATGGGCAGGGACACCTCCCACCATCCCAGGGTGCTCCAATCCCTGTCCAGCCTGGCCTGAAACTCTTCCAGGGATGGAGCACCCACAGCTGCTTTGGTAATTTGTGCCTCACCACCCTCACAGGGGAGAATTCTTTCCCAGCATCCAACCTAACCCAGTCTCTTTCAGAATCCGTGGAAAACCCTGTCCTGGTGTGAGACCACACTGGAGTCTGGCAAAGCTTGGGATATCTAAGAGCTCCTAGCAAACAGTGAACAGTGGGCTGCCTCCCCATGCAGCTCACCTGGCTGGTGCTCAGGAGGCCTCACCAGGTCCTTTCCCCACTCTGGTGCTGGTCTCACCAGCTCCCTCCCCAGTGCTGTGCTGCAGGGCAGCTGGCAGCAGGTCTCCCTGGGTAATCTCGCTGCAATCAGCACTAAATTAGCTTTTTTTTATTCATCTCCTCTTTGTTTGTTGTTACCAGAGCTGGCTGTTGGGCCGGAGCTGCAGGGGTCTGAGGCAGTGAAAGGAGTCGAGCCCAAATCTGTCCCTGGGCAAGATCCTGCAGGAGTGTGTGGAATGAAGGTTTGCAGCAGCAGGTTGGAGAGGCTGGTGTGGATTTGGGGATGCCAGCGCTCCCCAGGGCATTTCTGTGCTCCTCAGAAAACGCTGAGTGACTTTTCCACGGAGTTTCTAATCCGTGGGTTTGGCATTTGTCTGTCTCACTTTGGATGGCATGAGTCTGCTCTGCTTGGCACCGTGCCTTTGTTCAGCAGCTGAGGAGGCAAAGGTTGGTGCTGATTTGACAGGGTTTGGGATTGGATCCAAGACAAAAATGGTTGTGTGTGGCTCGGTGTTGCTGGAGGAGCTCCTGGTTTTTGGATGCCAGGCACCTCTAGGGCCTGTTCAAAGAGAAGTGTTTGCCATGGGTGAAGCTTGTCAGTGTAACCCAGTCTGAGAGAGCAGATCTGGCTCTGGGGTTGTTACCAATAACCTTTTATTTTCAGCACCAAATCTATGCCAGAGGCAAGGGATGTGTTCTAGCCTCCATGGCTGCCTTGTCACATTTTCCTTTGGGAATGTGATGGGCGAACAAGTGAAGAGATTAGATGACTCTGCTCCTTTTTGTTTGTCCTGCTGGAAGTTTTTCCTCCTCTGCAGGGC